GGCTTGATTCACGTGAATCCTTCCTTACTACTCTGGCTGCTTGTTCTGTGTGGGCTTGGGAATCCAACGAGACCATTAACTTATACCCGCTTCTTACAATGTATTTTCCATCATTATTATAGTGCCATACCAATTCATTTTGCCCTCCTACCTTGCTAAATGGAATCGCCATAATATCTGCCATCGTTTCTTGGGAGACTAAGCCTTCCAATTTTTTTGTGTCCCATTGCTTCGTGTTCTCATTGATTAGTTCTTTGACCAAAATGTCACGAGGTTCAACACGTTCCTTTGGAGTTGGGGTGAAACTGCCATACCTTGGTATCCACGGGATGCCCCATATCTTAATCTTCTCTCTAGTGCCCACTCTCCACCTTATGCCATGCCTCAATAATTCTCACCCTACACAAATGCTCCTCTAAATATATTATGGAGACCTCCCCAACTTAGCATCAAGAAAGAAAGTCCTGGGAAAGTACTTCTCCTTTAGCATTTTGTAAGCTAGGAGGTGAAGTATTTTGCAGTAGCCTCCAACCTCGCTTAGCTAGTTTTTCGAGAAATGGACTAATTGTATACCTAATAATTATACTAACATTAAAATATTTGCCTGCTACATAATAAGCTAATGTTACTAACATTTTAGCTCTATTATGCGGGCTTAGAACTGTTCAAGGATGATTGACCGTCCAAGCTGGTAGGTTTGATCCAACTCAAATTGAGGTTGAACATCTGTAACATATAGTAAAACTATCCTCTAAATAGCCGTTTGATTTGTAGATTCTTACGCTTCGAAATAAAAAGTAATTTCAAAAGAAAGTAATATTTGAAGGGGAATGAATGTTTTTGAGATATCTTAAATTTAAAAATATAAAAATTTTATATTTGATTAAAAGAATATAAAATTATTTAATAAAATTTTTTATTATATCATCTTTAAATAACACATGATAAATATAAAAATATAGAAATAACTTATGTATTTAACATTTTATAAAATTTTAATTATAAATCATTTATATATTTAGTTAAACATTTTCAAATTATTTGTATATATATTTTTTGTTAAGTTACATAAAATTTAATTACTATTTTAATATTTATTGTTCTTATTCCAAGAAAATATGTCGATTGACAAGAAGATTTTGAGTTTTATGTTTTCAAAAGGGGTGGGACTTGTTAGCATTAATGTCAGATGATGATCGTAACTAATAATAAAAGCCACATTTTTTATAGACAACATTTTTAAGCAAGAAAACGTATTAAATATTTTAAAAGGCACTTTTTTTTTCAATAAAACGTTGTCTTTTCTCCAAAAATATCCTTTTTATTTTTAGGGGCAAATAAATTTTTGTATATAAAATTTTTTATAATATATTTTCAACAAATACCATATTTTTAATTTTAAAAACATTACCTTTATTGAAACTATAGAATTATAAAAATAAACTTTTTTCTTAAAATATTTTTAAAAAGTGATTTTTGTTATATTTTCAACAAAAATTACTTTTTAAAGAAAAAAAACGTGATCTTTATTTAAATTATATAAAGTAAAATAAATTTTTATAGTATATTTTCAAAAAAGATCATAATTTTAAGATTAAAAATTTGTTTTTTGTTGAAAATATAACAAAACCATGTTTTTAATTTAAAAATTGTGATGTTTATTTAAAATATATTAAAAATTATTTTTATAATATTTTATAAAAATTATTATATTTTAAAGATAAATAATGTTGTATATATAGTCTGAAAATGTAAATAAATGAAAGAAAACAGAAAATTTTTCACTTTATTTTCAGAACTTAAAAACCTCACGAATATCTATCCAATATTTGAACCCTAAACCACTACGTAAATTTCCATAATACATAAAAAATAATCAAACAAGTATTTTATTCTTAATCAGAACAAAAAGGCCTAAAACCTCCATTACCCAAACTAACATATCAAACTAAAAAAGTTCACAGTGGCCATAAAAACATAAACCAACAACAAACAGCCAAATACAGTAACCACAATTTTAAAAAATAAAAAAAAAAAACACACAAAAAATGAAAATCACAAAAAATAAGGTAAGGAGGGTTTCGGTTTTGGGGCGCTTTAGGACGCTTTGGGATTTGATTTTTTGAGAGAGAAAGGCCATGGAAGAAGGAAAAACATACTAAGAGGCGGTAGTGTTTGGAGCCGTGAAAGAGGGGTTTTTTGGAGGTTGGAAACCGTAGGCCTTTTTGGTAGATCTAGATCTTTTGGGTTGTTTTTTAAGGAATCCGTTTGGTTAGAAGTGTTTAAGACGTTTAGGGTAAGATTTGGATGATTTTTGGTGACATGTCGATGCTGATGAATGACTGTTGGAGAGAATTTTGAGAGAGTAAACATAATTAGAGAGTGAAAAAAAAAAAAAAAACATAAAAAGATTTGTTATTTGTCAAGATGTTAAACACACCGATTTAAGAAAAAATATTAAAAATCATCTAGGCGAGGGTTCAATTCCCATCATGCCCCCTCCCCCTTGTACGGGCATTAATTCCCTTTGAAACCAAAAAAAAAAAAATATATATATATATATATACACGTATTTATAATTCAAATAAATTAAATTATTTTTTACTTAAAATAATTGATCCCAATCATAACGGGATATCCTTTCTAATAAATTCTTAAAACTGATTTTAAGCCAAAAACATTAATAATTTAATATATCAAATGTTGAGGCGGTAAGGTCCACCAAGGATGGTCCATAGATGACAACCCAAAATTACACTCCAAGTTAACTCTTATCATATCAATAAAATGAAGCATTATTAACATAATACTAACTCCTTTTAACCAAACATCATCAATTATATCTTATATCACCCAAAAAGAAGAAATTCCTCATTGTCATGTAAGCCTCCAGGGATGGATCCAGGATTTTTATTCAGTAGGGACAAATTTATTATATAAGATATTTACTTAAAATTTTTTATTTAATATAAAGGTAATGTTTTCTAAATGTAAAACATAATTTTAATAAAAAAAAACTTGAAATATTTTTATATTATCAAATATATAAAAAGTTTAAATAGAAATTAACATAAATATAACAAAAATTTATAATATTAAATGCATCAAAAATTTAAATATCAAATAAACACAAACACATAATATTATCATTTTTCAAATGAAAATAGTACTATATAATTGAGTTAAATAGTTTTCATAAGTAGAAAATTTAGGATTTTTTTGACTGTCAATATTAAAAGATATATAATTTTATTTAATTTCGGATAATTTCTTTTAAAATTTACTTTTTCTTACTAATGATATTTGTCTTTAACTAACTTAAATCAAATACTAATTTAATTTTTCTATAGTTTTTAAGACATAAGATAAGATATAAAAATACAAAATAGGACTAAACACAAGCTACTTTTATATATATTTTAACTTTTTAAATAATTTTAAAATTGATACTATTTTTTTTCTAATTTTTAAATTTTATTATATTATATCTCTATAATTTTGTTAGGTTATATCTCTACAACATTATTTTACATCAAATACATATTATTATAAATTTTAAATAATGTTAAAAAAAACACCTTTATCACTTTATCAATATAAAAAAAATCAAGAGAATAAAGTATTTTGATACATTAAAAATAAATTTTTGTATCATGAGAATTTTGTCATAATTTCATTTTACTTATTATCTATATTTTATTATACAATATTAGTTTAGCTTTAATTTGCACTTTTTTTTCTTTTACAAATATTTTATTACTTTACGTTTGACTTGGACACTCTTACAATAATATAATGATATTTCACATAAGTTAAAAAAAAAAATGAAGTCTATAAATAAAAAAAGGGAGAATAGATAGATATGGGCAAAAAAGAAAAAGTAATATTAGATTGTGACTTAAATTAGCTAGAATGAGACTTATATGAAATAATTATTTATAAGTCAAAATTTGTTAATATTTTTATATAATACTTTATTTTCTTTTGAAATGAGTTAATTTTTTTTATTAAAGTATATCTATACTTTATAATATTTTCAAATCCTTTCCTTTTTATATTATTTTTTCAATTTAGTGGGGGCAAAATGTAAACGTATTAAAACTTTTGTTTAATATCATGATATATTTAAAAAGGTTATATGATTTCAATGGGAGCAGTTACCCCCATTGCCCCGACTATAAGTTCGTTCCTGTAAATCTCCATTTGTTTTATAGAAAATAATTTTTAAAAAATATTTATATTTTTTAAATTAAATTTTTTTTTTATTGTTTAGAAGAGTTAATAAAAAATATTTTTCGTTGTTTGGTTGTTTTATGAAAATTTTTTTTTTTTAAAATAACATTAATATAACTATTAAAATATTAAAAATTATTTATTATTAAAATATATTTAAATTATTTATTATTAAAATTATTAATATTAAAAAATAATTATATTTTAATAATAATATTTAATATTAAAATAATATGTTAATATAAAAATACTTAACATAAAACTATTTATTATTCTTTATATTATTTATTAATATATTATAATATTAACTATTAATATATTATTTAATAGTATATTATTTATTAATAATGTATTATTTATTCATATATTATTATAATATTTATTTATTAAATTAATAATATTTATTATATTATTATTTATTAAAATAATATTATTTATAATATATGATTTATTATATAATATTATTTATTAATATTAATATATTAGTATAATATTTTTATAATAATATTTATAATAATATTATAATATTATTTATTAATAGTATATTATTTATTAATATAATACTATCTATAAGTAAAATTATATTAAAAAATATCAATAAATAGTTCTACTCACACATTTTTTTTTTGAAAAAATGTATTTTTTTTCAAATTCATAAGATAATTTTTTAAAAAATAACTTTATTTTTTATTAAGCATTAAATTATTTTTTCGTTGATCGATTAATTTTTTATTAAATAAATATCTAAAATACAAAAATTAGTTTTTAAAAATCATTTTTTACAATCCAGACAGAGCCTAAATGTTCCCTTCGACTGGACGAGTTGCTGGCGTATCTCCTTACATGGGACCCTTCCCTCATTATCATCCTTAATCAATCATGGTTTATTTTAATCAAAAACAATTAGCAGAAAGAAAACTCCATCAGGATTTAGATTTCCCACCCAATCCTGTTCCTCCATCCTTCGCCTGCTGCGGCCGATGCACCGAATCAAAACCATAACGGCTCAAATTGGAGGACGACTTTACCAAAACACCCTTTCATGCTGTATCAGTCAAGCCTCTTCTCAATTGTTTCCCCTATTTATAAGTCTCTCTCTTTCTTCTCACAGAGGACACAAAGGCGAGAGAGAGAGAGAGAGAGAGAGAGAGAGAGAGAGAGAGATAGAGTTAGGTTTTCGATCTGTGATGGCGGCGCAAAGAGATGTAGAGCCAACAATATTCGAAGAAACGACGTCGAATTCCCTTCTACAAAACACTCGTTGCTGCTTCTGTTTTCCTTGCTTCAGCTCCCGTCGCAAGCCTTCCGTCGGATTAGCCTTCTGGGAACAGATACGTACGGGCCAGGTGTTATCCAAAACCAGCTTGTGGGCCCGAAGTGTTAGAGCCTTCCAGAAGGTCCGTAAATGGTCCGAGCTCGTTGCTGGTCCCCGGTGGAAGACATTTATCAGAAGATTCAACCGAAATAAAAGCGGAAGCGGCGTCGTCTCTTGTAATAGGCATGGTAAATTTCATTACGATCCATTGAGTTATGCTTTAAATTTCGATGAAGGCCCGGGGCAGAACGGTAACTTCGAAGACGATGTTGAGTATGGTGGCTTTCGGGCTTTCTCGACCCGGTACGCTTCGGTTTCCGGTTCGGAGAAAACGGCCTTGGCTTCGAAGACGACTTCGGAGGTTCAGAAGGATGTGGCGGTTTTCGCGTGAAAAAAAGGAGTTCCGTGATCCGTGAGCTTGACTTGGTGACGTCCGCACGGCTTGTTCGTTACTTTTTTTTTTTTTTAATTAATTATTATTTATAATAGGAGTGGCGGTGATAGTGGCGGACGAAGAAGATGAGAATGAAGCGGGTGGTGGGATTTTTTTTATGATTTTGTATTATTCTTTTTGGGATTTCTTGTACTATATTATATATAAAATCAGGTTAATGATGTGTACATATTGATTGATTTAGTGGAATAACAACAATAATAATGCGAATAAAGTTTTCTTTGATGGACATGTCACTTCTTTTTTTTATTATTATTTTGTGCTACAATATTTATCTTTTTTTATTATAAAAATAATTTTTCATTTTTTCTTGTCATTAAAATAAGTATCGTTGACTTTTTTAATACTCTAAATTTAGAATAAGGATTGGTATTTTCAACTATTGAAGGTATGCAAACCTTTTGTAGTGTTAGTATTTTAATTCAATCATTGGTCTAACAAACAAATTTGACTTACTTTTCCACAAGCATTCTTTTGTACCAAAAATTCTTTGTTCCTTTGAACAACAACCATTATTACACAAAAATATTATCTTTGAACAACCAATCTTCAAGCCAATTGCCTTTCTAAGGGAAAATCTCAACGTGAGTTTGAATTTTGATTAAGAAGGATTGAGTTTTTATTAGATAATAGAGAGCTAACTCTTATTAGAATTAATTACATTTTTTTATACTTTAATTTTGACAAAATATATAATTTGATATTTAAAAATTAATATATAATTTTTTAAAAAAATTTAAATAATATATCATGTTAATTAAAAATTCTAACATCTTAACTTAATTTATTTATATAACATTTAACCAAGATAATTGTGCCTTATATGTATCATGTGTTAGATAAAAAATGCTAAATATTTTATGAAAATTTTACATGGATGTTACATTCATTAATTTGTTCGATTTTGGATAAAATTTTCTGTCCAAGTTAAAAAAAAAAAAGCATTTTTAATTAATGTTGAAAAGAATGTTAATAATTTTTAATAATATACACATAATTTGATAATATCTATATAAACATATATATATATATTTATATAATGATAACATAAACTAGTTGAGTTAATTTAGATTAATACAATAGATAATATAAAAAAGTACATATTTTAAAGATACTCCTTTGCACATTTTTCAAAAATTAAACGCCAAATATTCAGTCACCTCTTCTTGTTATATAACTAAAAAATCTTTGCATACCAAAATAAAAAAATTGAAGCCAAGTAGCCAACTGAAGATAGGGGTGAAAAATCTACCATTGCTTGAGATTAGTCAAACAAATGTAGCACAATTCTAACCAGATTAGTCAGACAGACAGCAGTTTAGTTAAACACTCTCCATCATCCCCACAAAACTTATATAAAGTTGGTCACCAGTAATTGGGGGTTAATCATCGAACTTACATTACGAGAAGATAACAATTAATAATTATTTATGTCTGATCAAGTCTCCATGGATTCATCACGAGTAGGAGTATGCCTTCTTGGGGACTTAACATAGACATTACTGAAAGCCGGTTGGTTTCTCTGAATTTCTCTGCTATTCAGAAACTTATTCCGAGACTTTACCTTAAGTAAAATGTCTCCGACAATCCATGGAAAGCTCAAGGAATTCATGCTTTCCTGGAAGTAATTTGGGTGGTAAGTCACGTGATACCATGCAGAGGCAAGTCTCTGATGCTCCTCAGCCTTGCAGCTATTCTTAAACCATTCTTTAGCTTCTCTCTGTAGGTTCTTGAGGGACAGAACAATTCGTTCCTTCATATCTGCGTATCTCCTGTTGTCTCGCTTCAAAAACATTGCCTTTTTCTGTATATTACCTGTCAGGATCTCATCCTCGCTCTCTAACTCATAATAGCTCATCAATAAGCTCATTTTCTCTTCATACATGTCTTTATGAGTCTGTGCAACTGACAGGAATGACTCAAAACCGTTCACTTCAAGGTCACAATCATATGCTGCTTCAGCCATCTTCTTTGACCAAACAAACTTTGACCTTGCTTGCATAGTTGAGTCGATTGCAGCACGGTACAGTTTTCCTAGTACTCCGAGGGAAGCATACATGGGTTTGTCTCCCCTCTGCATGAAGTCTGGAAACTCCTTTGGTTTCAGAGCACGAGGCATCTCAGCTGGTGCTCCTGTCTTCGCAAAATCAACAGCCATAGAGTGAAGAGTAGCCAATGCTAGACAATTTTCACTGCGTGCTTTATCTGGTTCACGATCAGCATGCACCAAATGTGCAGTAGAAATGGCACCCAAAGTATCATTGATCATGTAGTCAACAAAAAACTTCTGAATTTCCTGCAAATTTCAGCGGAAGATGAGGGCAAAAATAAGATCTAACCAAATACAAATCTTTTCCATTTTCATCACATCAGAAATTCAGCTCAGTTTCACATTACCTCCAACGTCACCTCATGGTCCATTATTCGAGGTCTGCTTCCAGTGTAGTCCATTGGGGCGTCAGTTTGACATGGGATGAGATCTTTGTCCCAGCTTATGAAAAACTGGTCCCCGTCAAGATCACCACCTGAGCATTCATTTTGATGAGGCCTGCAAGAACAAATTGTTAGGTGTTAGCCACACCAATATATTTAAGATCCAAAAACATATAAAAAGTTAACCACCTCATATTGCTATAACTGGCATCAGATGCAACATTATTGGGACCCAACAAGACGAAAACAAAATCTTATAAGGGGCCTCTTATTGGGAAGCCCTTATGAGCAGAAAATGATAGGAACAAACATGAGATTCATAAGGAAGCAACTGTTTCAACCAAGAGGCAGCGACTTTTCCAGGAAGAACAGGAAAATGAGAGTTGACTTAAACTGTGAACTATACCTTTCTCCTTTCTGGGGGAATACAAGACAATCCACGATACCCTTCTCTTCTAGTTGAGCCTCATAAACAGCCTCGAAGACTCTAACATCCCCAGGGTGAAGGCAAGGATTTTTTGTGACAACCACCTTTCCTATCACTATAGCCTTTTCCTCATCCACCTTACGGAAGAAACTTTGGTCTGCACATTCTAGCTCTGCTTTTTTCATTTTTACACAGACATAAACTTGACCATAATTCAAAACACCAGTTTCATCCAAACAACCAATTAAGACCCGTCCCTTTGGAACAAATATCCGGCACCTGCTTTTTAAATCAGATAGCATACTCTCATGATGTGATAGAAGCATCTTTGAGAGGTAAGGTTCCACTTTTGGCTCATAACCTTGAACCAACATTTCCACCAGAATGTTTTTGGAATCAATTCCACCTAAACTCTGTAAGGCATCCAAAGCTGCTTCTCTATTTGTCAGCATTTTTGCCAGCAGACATAATTGTTCCTGTTGCATTGTCTCAAATACTCCATCCTCAATGCCCAAGGTGGACAAGAGAATAATGATTTCTCGATTCAAAAAGCAAGGCATGGACTCACTCCATTTGGTGACATTAAGCATCCTGATTTTTGACTCAAACTTAAGCATGCTACTACGCAGAGATATCTTCCTAAAGGAGTTGCGATCAACAACAACAACACCTTTGTAACCACCATATCTTATTTGAAATGCTGATGGAGTCCAATCCAATCCACATTTCTCAGCAACTTGCCTAGCAAAAGGCAGAGAAATTTTCCCTATACCATCAGAGAAGCAGTAATCAATGCCATCCGAGGTAACTTCAATATCAGGAATAATCTCCACATCCTGCACAGGGACAACAAGAGTTGGCAAAGAAGAACTAAACAATTGACCCATCCTTGCAGCACACTTAGATATACTACGTATCTTCTTGAAGCATCCCATCCATTCTCTAACATCTTCTGCTTTAACCTTGTCGTTAGACGCAAACATCCAGACAGAATTTGATCGAAGCTGACTAGCAGAAAATGCCAGGAACTCAAATCGTTTATCTCCAATAACAATTCCATTCTGAAGAACAGACAATATCCTGTGATATATTTTAGTTCTGAAAGGTCTTGAAAAGATACCTGGCTGAACACTAGTAGAAATGGCATTTACAGAAAGCTTACTCCAATCTTCTTCAACAAAAGTGACTCTCATAAAATCTGAAGCATATTCTGCAAAGTTCTTTACAACACAATTAGATCTTTCAAGCTCAGGACCCAAGCAATAAATTTTTGAAGGTGTAACGAGGGCTCTGTGACAACTCATGACATTATACTTTATTAACCTTTCAAATAAGGATAAAGGAAGACTTTGGAAGTTTCTTTCCAGGACAGATAATTTTGTCTTCACAAAGGACACAGGATTATAGCAAGTGGACTGTAGCTTGTGAAACTTCTGAAGAATCATTACAGCAGTTTCAACAGGCAAAACACTTAGGATATCTAACAGATCTGTGTCTATTGCAGCAATACTAATTTTTTGAGTATGAACAAGGGAATTGAGCAGAAAAAGGATCTCATATGCTAACTTGGGATCTGATGGGCCCTTCACAAGTGGAACAATTTCAGATGCAGACGAGAATTCTTCCCCACCCTCTAAAATTGGACCTTTCATGTCTTCTCTATAACAAGGGAAACATGTAAACATATCCGACATTGATAATCCTGCTTTAAATTCCCAATAAAACGAAGTTGATTGTCCAATTGACTTTATCCTTGAAAAGTCTGTTGTGCGAACCCAAAGAAAGTCAAAATTTTCCTTGCAAAGATGGTATCGATCAGTATTGAATTTTGAAGCTACATTTTGTCCAGATACTTTCTGATATATCCTTGGAGCATACCTGACCTGGAAAAAGTAGTTGTTCAAGTAACATTTTGTAGACCATGACAAAGAAACTGTACTCTGGGCTAAGAACCAATCCACACGAATGATAATATATAAAAACATGTTAAGTTTAATAGAATTAATAATTTTCCAAATATGTACCCCAGCAGTATATTATACACAACCATTTTGTGTACTATTCCTAGAATGGAATTACTAAATCAGCGAAGCACCAAGGTGAAAACCTCAATGATAGTTCTATAAAATACAATTTTCTTGCAAGGAAAAAGACATTATCAAGCTCATTAAACTGTCAACAGTTCAGCACCCCATGAAAGTTCTTTTAATTTAACTGGCTCTACAAAATGCCTTATAACATTTTTGTCCGCTTGTTCTGATTTGTTGAGGTTCCAGACTCTGACAATTCACAGGTGTTTGGATGTAAATCAAGTGCAAAAATGGAGAGAACACTGAATTTATACTATCATTTAACAAGATTAATCGAGCTTAATTCCATTCAATAGCCAGAGGTTTCGCCTTTGGGGGATCTTCCCTAGTCTATGCCCGGAATGTATAACTATAGACCTAAATGCCAAGAACTAGTATAAGATATCTAATGCAGCAATGAACACTTTAAAAAAATAGCTAGATTTTTAATACATATACACATCAATGGCAATTTAAAACAAAGCAATGAAGGATTCATGCTACTTGTTGTTTTAGAAACAAATCACATTCTCTACTACTCCTTGATTTGCATACATGCATCTTGGTCAAGTCAAAGGCCAAGATAAGAAGGAAAAAGAATTAAGGCTTCTAATCACTTATTAATAAAAAAAGGTATCACCAGTTAATATAGCATCCAAATTGGTAACTACGAACAGAACATATCATCTAAAGGGCAGCATATTAGCAAATCAAGAACTATAGCTCAAAAACTTTGAGACAAAGTAAAAAAAGTAGGACGTGAAAGGCATAATAATCACAATTCCCTTCAAGCTCAGTTGCTTCTTTTCTCGAACTATTATTCCTTCAAACAAATCAACATTAAGAGAATGATAGTACCCATAGGTATAAGCTCAAAATTGCTTACTTGACAGGCAAATAATCAACCTTTGAACAAAGTATAACATCAAGGTTTAATTGGTTAGTAATAATGAAGAGGAAAAAGCATACCCTCAAGAGAAGAGCATTGCATGCGGAGCCATTGAAGCAACACCCAACAGTCTCCAAAATATCATCAAACAATACTTCAAGCTTGTAACACTCCCCATTACTCCACACCCAGAACTCTAGTCTCCTTCTCTCAGGCATCATCCACCCTCTCACTCCCTCCCATCGTTCCAACACACGCAAGCAATCATCTTGAACCATAAAACCCACATGGAGAACCCCACCTTCGAGCCTATGATCGGTTCTGACGGGCCTGGGGATGATGTCATCGTAAGTTTCAGAGAGTTTAAGACAATGGGACTTGAAAACGAGAACGTTTTTGAAGGAGAGACACTGCGCTTTGGACTTCGCTTCCAGAGTGGTGAACTGGACTCTGCCGAAACCACGGGACTTCCAGTTGTTGCGGTCTGTTGAGATTTCAATGGCGAAGACGGCGTCAGGTCCGAGCCTGGACTCGAGGAACTCTAAGAGGTCTTTGGCTACGGCGGTTTGGGGTATGTTCGTGATTCGTAAAGTGGGTCTCTCTATCTCCATACCACCCATCACCTCTCTCTATCTACACGGAGGTTTTGTGCAGTTTGGCTTTGGGGTTTTAGTGTTCCGTGAACTGAGAAGGGAGCATCTGTTGCTCTCTTCCGCGGTTTACTTTTTTTTTTTTTTCTTTTCCAATGAAGTTTTGTGAATTTTTATTATAAAAAACAAGTTTTGTGATTTTTATTTTCTTGGGTTTAGGCTTTTTTGAATCGGAGATGGAGTCAAACGCAATTCCCATTAACCAATAGAAAAAGATGAAAAAGGAAGGTTCAAATTATGACAATAGTCTTTATATTTTAACCAAATTTAAAACTTAATTCTTCAATTATAATTTATAAAAATATAATTTTTGTATTATTTTATTTTGATAATATTAATTTAATAATTAATTCTTTAAATTTTTTATTATTAATAATTGATTTAACTGTTAATTTGATGATATAGATATTGATTTTATTGATACGATATTGATTTTGTTGATATGATAATATAAATAATGAAATCAATTGTTAAATAATATAAATAATTCTTATATTTATACAAAATTTAAACATTAATCTATATAATTCATAAAAATTTTATCATCATACAAGTTGAATTTGATAATATTGATCAAATTAACAATGCCATCAATTATTTTTCATTAATTTTGTTAAAATGATTATTGTCTTTTTTAGAAAATCATTTGAAAATTTTAAAAATCTCAAAAAAAATGCAGAAAATGATTTTTAGGTTTTTCTTGAATTTTTAAAAACATTAAATTTATATTTTCAAATATTTTAATTTAAAAAAATTATATTTCTTGGATTTTTTAACAATTGGATTTCAATTTTTAAAAAATAAAAAATTTAATTATTTAGAATTTTTTCTGATTTCAAAAAAATTAATTTTATTTTTTACAATATTTTAATTTATTTAAAAATAATATTTTTAAATTTTTTTGAAAGCCATTTCATTTTTTAAGAAAAACATTGTTAATTTTTAGAATTTTTAAATATTACCAATATATTTTTTAAAAATAATATTTTTCAAATTTTTTTGTTAAAATCAGAATTTTTTATGAAAATTTTAATATGTCTAAAATTTTTTGGAAGTTTTTAGATTTTTTTAAAAATATTAAATTTATTTTTTCAATATTTAATTTTTTTGAAAATCATTTTTTACACAACAAATTAAATATTTTTATTAAATAAAATGTTTAAGATTGAAAAAATACAAAAATTTGAAGCAATAATTTTTTGAAAAAAAATGAAAATATTGAAAAAAATAAATTTAATATTTTCAAAAAATGTAAAAAATTTTGGAATATTAATTTTTTTAAAAAATAAAAATTTGATTTTATTAAAATATTCAAACAATGAATTTTTTAAAAGTTAAAGTATTGAAAAAATTTTAATTTAATATTTTCAAAAATCAATGAATTCAAAAAATTGAAAATTATTTTTTAAAAAGTTAAAATCTGATTCTTTAAAATAAAATAAATATTATTTTTTAAAAAATTATATTTAATATTTCTTAAAAATCAAGAAAAATTCTAAATAATTCATAAATTTGATTTTTTAATTAAAACTTTATTTTTAAAATTCAAGAAATACAATTTTTTAAAAAAATTAAATTTAATGTTTTAAAAAATCATAAAAACCTAAAAAATCATATTATTAAAAACTTTTTTTATCATTTTTTTTTTTTTCAGATATTTTCTTTTGAATTTTTTAGAACTTTTTAATTGCCAATGTTTTTATATATAAAAAAAAACTCATATCTCATTATCGTTTATAGAAAGTAGTTGATCACATTAGTACTTATATTAATATTATCATATTTAACTTGTATAAGGACGAAATTTTTGTAAATTATACAAAATGAATTATTATTCAAATTTTGTATGAATATAAAAATTATTTACACAATTTGATAATTGATTTTGTTTATTTATATTGTAATGTCAGCAAGTTAATACTATTCAATAGAGTCAATGCATGCGTTATCAAGTTAATAGCCACGTTAGCATTTTTAAAGGCAAAATTTTGATGAAGATAATGTTTAAACTAAAATTATCAAATTAAAATAGTATAAGAATTACATTTATATGAAGTATAATAGAAGTACCTAATTTCAAATTTGTTTAGAGTACAAGGTCATTATCATAATTTGACCAAAAGGAAAAGAATTAGCTACTAGAATTGAAATTGAGAAAGCTAGACACGTGGCCGAAAGAGAAAAGTATGTGAATATATATATATATATATATATATATATATTTGTATAGGTAGAAGAAAATGAAGTTACTTAATTAGTGGGTAATTTTTATAATATTTCTAAATACATTGACAAGAAATTATTTGTATGCTTATCTTTAATTTGCTTTAAATTTTTATTCATAAGCGGATCTTCTAAGGAGTTTGAGGGGGTCTTGACCTCCCAAAGTTTTAGAATCCCTTAGTATGTATGTTTTTAATTGATTTCCTTAAATTAAAATTATGAAATTTTTTTATTTTTTATATGCGATCTTTCAATTTAATTTATATATTACAAAGAGTAATTAAAATTATATTATTATTATTTATCTATTTATTATACCCACCAATCAATGTTTATAAACCCTTAAAATCAATGGATTTATTACAAAGATTAAATTATAATAATTCAAATTTAACAAAAACCAGCTTTATCAATAAGATTCCAAATCTCCAACCAATTATCAAACATTTTTTTAATAAACTACAACTTCTCTTCTCCGCTTAATTCTCCACTTTTAATCTTATTATAGATCTCTTTTTCTTGTTATCTTGCAAGGACAAAAGAGTAATATGAAAATTGTTAGAAAACTATCTTTAACTTATAATTTCAAAGTTTTTATTTTATTTTTTAAAAAATATATTCCATTTTTCCTGTTTTGATGAAAATATATTATTTAACAATTGATTTATTTAAAAAAAAGTTTCTTGTAATTTTAAATAAAATTATTTATATATTTATTTATGAATTGATAAATTATATATATATTTTTTGAATTTTTTTGTTAGTATATGCTTGGATTTTTTTTGTTAGTAAATATTTATAAATGTATTAGGATACATCTTATAAAATATAAGATCAAATATCATATAAGTTGGCCCCCTCAAAACTAAATTTTAAGATTCGTCATTATTTTAATTGTTGATTTTTTATTATTGCATCTAGATATGGTAATTCGTATATAATTATTATATTTATTTCATGTTAAACGTGTGTAAAATATAAAAATTATCATGTAATTATTTATTTTAATATGAGACTAAAAAAATTTTTTTTTAATTTTTGTCAAATTTATATATAATTTTTTTCAAAATTTTAAATTATATCATTTTTATATTTTTTAATATATTTTTATGTTATAATCATCGTATTGTGTCTAAAATCATCAAATTGCATCTAAGTGAATTAATATCAATTGATTCATGTGTTGGACATTTATAAATAGTATAGATTAAGATTACTACATTGTACATTCGGAAAATTTTCTATATTGCTTGTGAGTTGTAAATTAGTTAATTTCTTTTTCCTCTTTATGTTAAATTATAGTAGTATCTTATGTTTTAGAAAATTTTTTTGTTTAATAACTTATTTTCGCTTAAAAATTTTAGGATATATAAATTTAGATGTTCACTTTTTTTATAGTTGCTAGACAGATTGTTTGAATATAGTTGATTAGGTCTAAATTTGAATTTCATTTGTCAATGAGGAACAATGATGTAATAAATTTTTAATAAGCATGGAAGTGTTAAATGGATCATGCTAGCTACACAAATATAACCTATTTAAATATTCGTCCATATGTTAGTGGATCATATCGATTCACTATTATATTTTAACATACCGCATTGGCACATCATAAAAGTTAAGAGAATGGTCCAACATGGCACATGGCTCATAATCTTCATGGGTTATGGGCTATGTGCCATGTTAGGTACAACATTATTTTTCATGTTGAGATTGGTCAAGTATAGACCCATTAATATTTTTTAAAAATTTTAGTTATTTTTTAAAAAATTTCGTCTATTATTATAAAAAATAACATCATGGAGATAATAAACATAAAATGAAATAAAAGGGACATATAATTTATGTGATTCAACAAAATATCTACATCTATAGAGATGAATAATAGAACTACTAAATCAAGATATTGAAATTACAATTCTAATATTTTAAAAAAAAATACATACACATCAACTATCAAACGCCCAATAATACACATATAACTAAAGTTTTGCTAACTAGTCTAATAAAGTAAGTGAAATTTTAAAGGAAAATTTTGCTAAACTATATATTAAATTTTCTTTATAATATGATCTAATAGTATTTTTTGAAACTATTTTATGATTAGATAGTATACTAATTCTAATTAACTTATTAAAACATTCATCATCTACAAAAACTAATAATTGTTCAAATAACTTTATAAATTTAGTTAATTGATTATGTCAATTATCTTGAGAAAAAAAAAATGCACCTAAAGACATATTAAGATGCTAATTAAGTATAATTTATGTGGAATCATTTGACGCAACAAATGTAGCGTTGTATTTTTCTTTATGTCTTTTCAGATGATCAGTCTCTTTTAGTTTTACAACTAAAATCTTATATATATGTTATAACTTTGAAAATTCTGATAATATAACTTTGAAAAAAATGTTAATTTATTTTTATACACATAAATTTAAATAAATTCATACATTGAACAATTCGTAAACTAATTTGATATAATTTATTTATCAATAATTTAAATATTTAATAAGTAAATTTATTTAATATAATTTTATTATATAAATTATCAAAAAAATAATTTCATTAGAATATAAAAAAAAAATATTAATACATTTAAAGGCCACAGCCCATATAAAACACTTATGGGCTAACATGACATGATACATTTGGGCTTGTATAATGTGTCATGCTAGCTTACGTATCACGTGCTAGTTAATTGATTATGTCAATTATCTCGAGAAAAATAAAATGTGCCTAAAGATCCATTAGGATACTAATTAAGTATAGTTTATATGGAATCATTTGAAGCAGCAAATGTAGCATCGTATTTTTCTTTGTATCTTTTCAGATGATTAGTCTCTTGTAGTTTTACAACTAAAATATTATATATATATACATGTTATAAGTTTGAAGATTTTGATCATATAACTTTTAAAAGAATGTTAATTTATTTTTATACACATAAATTTAAATAAGTAAAACAATTCATACATTAAACAATTCGTAAATTAGTTTGATATAATTTATCTATCAATAATTTAAATATTTAATAAGTAAATATATTTAATATAATTTTATTATATAAATTATCAAAAAAATAATTTTATTAGAATATAAAAAAATTACATGAATACATTCAAATGCCACAAGCTCATTTAAAATAATTTTAGGCTAACATGACACAATATAATGTACTGTGCTAGCCTATATGTCACATATCTTATTGGGTTGTGCCATACTGACCATAAATTTAAAATTTTCTAGCTCACGACAACACACACACATATATGTATATCATGTTTGACTTAATCTTATTATTTAATTTCATATCTTATTGAATCATATCATCCTATGAATTACTTAATCGATTTACCACTTCTAAATAAACATATATATATATATATATCTTTTACCTTTACGACACTACAAGTCTTAATTGTCCCTTTATCCAAAAAATCTGTCACATTTTCATTTTTGTTGATAAAAATTTTCAACTTGGACCTCTTATTCTTTAATTTTTATTACTAAAAAATATGAAAAATATAATTTAAGTTGTTTTTGAATATTATTTTACAAAATTTAATTAATTAAAACATTTAAAATAATAGAATTCCAAGTTAAAAAATTTGTACAAGTTGGATAAAAAAAAGTCAATTATGACAATTTAAGCGGGTAAAAAGATTACAAGTTTGATAAATTTTTGGCAGGGAATATTTGATAGATGATTAAGATCGATCATAGACTTCAAGACAACATCTGATGATTTTAGTGTTAAACAAGCTTTAGAAAACGATGGTTTTTTCTTTTTTAATTTTTAATCAACCTTAAAAAATTTTCATTCTCATATTTACATGGTGAAAAGAAACATTACACTTATAAACTCTTTTAATCCATAATTTTAAAGTATTTACTTTAGTATCATGTCAACTAATAAAAAGGTCAATCCACATGAAGTCTTTTTTTTTTTTTTAAAAAATTGTTGTGTGAATGCTCAAGAAATGTGTGATAAAGGGTGGAGATAAATAAATAAAATATTCTCATACAAGTTTCATGGCAACAAAAAAACTAATTAACTTAAATTTTGAAAGGAGAATGTTCAAATAGTTATACTCGTTTACATACAATGATGCAATTTTTATTGGTTGGAATTGGGAATTTTTCATTTTATATAATGAATATTTGATACTAATATAGCTAATAAAACTGGATGACCCTCCCTTATTCAGTTGTTTCGTACCTACGGCATTGCAAGAACAGCATGCCGAATCATTTCTTTCTCGTTTGTTTTCCTTGCTAAGGCATGCTCTTGTAAATGCACTATGATAACAACAAATACAATATGCATGATTCCAAATAAATTTTGTTTTGGCTAAATACGTAAGCATTGCTTATTTTCCTGCTATAAAGAAAGAAAACTAAAGTTTTAAGATGGATTTGTGCAAATGAAACTTGGAAGTGATCAACAATCACTTATTGATAGAATATTAAATTTTTAATTTTAAAAATTTCTAAAACAAAAAAAAAAAAATTATATACGAACGGATGTTGGCCCAAATGGCAAATAAAGTTCGCTCTTTTTTTTTGCTTGAGTTCAAATTCAATAAGAAATTATAGAAAAATAATATCTTATAAATTTATTAAATTCGATATAGATAAATTTATTTAAATCGGTCTAAAAAGAATATTTATTAATTAAAGCTCAAGAACTCCTTATCACTCAATAAAACATGAAAAACATGCTTGCTTCCTAAAATTAAGCGCGAGAAAGTGGGAATTCCAGAGTAGAAAGTGAGCAAGAGCTCCAGAATAACAGGTCTGACGTATGCTTCTTAATCCAAATGCAAGGGACATTTTATGGTCAAAGCTATAATAGACTTTTTGGGTAAGAGAGTGACTCATCATCAAATTAAGGTAATTTTGATTATTAAGTTTGAGAAATTATATTAATAATTTAAATTGTATAAACTTTAAAATAAAGTATTTTTATCAATAAATAAAATTATTCTATCTTAACATAAGATAACATGAAATTTTTAATTTAATCATATGCATAATATTATCTTATTTTATCTTATCATAATTTTGTATACTAAATATACCATTAATTTCAGTTATTAGGGTTCAAATTTTGACAATACCAAAAATATTAAAAAGAAAGTCCCCATCTGCTCCATCTTCTCTAATGCCTCCCAAAGGATCAAGGAAGATGAGTTTCCCATCAACAACATAGGGTCAAATGAAAGATATTTTGCCCTGTCAGGCTGTCAATCCAGCTCTAGCATTCTCCATTTACAAATCCTTGCTCACAATTTCTATTAGTGTTCAAAGTCGAACGTTTATTGGTAGAACTAGAAGGGTAAGCATTTCACTCAAGCGGGGCATAGTTGCATACAATCCAACTAAACAGGAGGGCTAGACTCAAAAGTCACTGAATAACTGGAAAAACTTTTCCTGATAAGCTTTGGATGGATTTTGCTAACCTGGATTCCAGGATTAAATTCAAGTCCCAACTTCCAAATCACAACTATTAACAGTCACATCAACAAACCAAATTTGCAGATTCAGTGTCAGTAAGGGATAGATGAAGTTGTATAATCAAATTTGTTTGGATAAGAAATTTAGATTGTAGAATGCCTGGGGCTTATGTTCTGGAGAACCAGATTAGTTCTTTTTGCATTTGAACACAAAACATAGGCATCCTCTTGAATCAGCTAAAGAAAAAGCAAAACTGTAAATGAAATAGCACTTATATTTGATAAGCATATAAAGGTTGATTGGTGAAAAAACAAAATTATTTTTTATCTAAAAAATAAAGTGATGAACCTGTATATCATCATTTCATACAGCTTCAGTTCTGTCATTCCTAGGCAAACTTATATTAAGAGATACATCAGCGTGAGTATCTGAAGAAGCTGGGAATCTGCTCTTCTTAGACCAAAGCCATATCTTAGAAACAGAAAAGCTCTCACCTTTAATTCTCCTGATTCTCTTCTCTTCTGCATCTCCACCAATGGAAGAACTTCCATCTTCTCTTTTCCCTTCCATAACCTTCTCATCTCTAACACCAGGAGACAAAGTCACTTGCAATGAATCACCAACCACATATTGATATGCACCCATTGAGTAACATCTTCTTGCATCCAAATTGGAGCTACTGATCTCTACTTGTAATACTCTTCCTCCACTTTCACCATCATTTATACTTCTGAACTTACCAAGTCTCACTGAGAAGACCCTTTTTTCACTAATATCTTCCGTAGCAGCTGGCTTCTGACTACAAGGAATGCCGATTTCTCCATCACTCTCAACCCCATTTGATATTGCCCTTAGGTACTCACATTGGAACATTGGATTTTCCAATGGAAAGCTGGAGCCAGAAAGGGTTATTCTACAAAGGGGGCATGTAGAATTTGAAAGAAGCCATGTATCTATACAATCAATGTGGAAAGCATGGCTACACATTGGAAGCAATCTGAGCTTGTCATGGTCCGAGAATTCACATAAACAAACAGCACAGTCAAATGGCTCCTTCAATCCCATTATATCTTTGTAGAAGAAAACTGGTAAAGCATCTATGACCGATTGGTCTAGGCCTGAGTCATGTAAACGAAAAAGCTGTTGAAGCTGTCTTTGAAGCCCATGAGACTCTGAGTTTCCAGGGTATCTATTGGATTGATAAATTGGTGAAAAAGATGGTCTCTTTATGAGAAATCTAACTAGCAAATGGAGAAGACCAGCAATGAAGAAGATTACAGCAAAAATTACTATAATCAAAAGAAGAACTGGACTGATTCTGATAGAAGATGATGAAGGGGATGATTCATTGTAGTCAATGTTATAATCAGGAGTTGGGAATGAAGAAAGAGGTGAAACAGGAGGTGGGTACAACATTTGTTTTATTTCATTTGTAATTCTAGACATTTTTAGCATATATGCATGTTCAAAAGTAAATGAAACAAACTCTTTTGTACTCTTTTGGCACAAAAGCAAAACTCTTTGCTATCAATTCCTTTTGAGCAACTCTCCAAAAGATATTCTTCCTTGCAAACTAGGTAGTGTATATTCTATCAGCAGAATTAAGGAAGCTATGCAAAAAAGCAAAAGACTAAATCAGATTCTGCTGTTACTGCTTTTACAAGAAAATTGAAGAGTCAATGTGAAGCAGAACTAGAAAGAAGACGGCTGCTAAGACAAAGAGGTTCAGAAAATGCAGGATACCAACCTGAGAGATGAAGAGTACACATGAAAAACCATTTGATAGAGTCCTTTTGTTTATGATTTTGGTTGGTTGGCTGTTGCTGATGGGTCTTTGTTTAAATTCTATTTGCACCACAAAAGCACAGCTTTTCACTTTGTTTTATACACAAAATAGAACAAGGGGATTAGTGGGTGAGGATTGGTTTGGCTGTGGGGTGGGGTGGGGAGTCCCAGAGGGTAGTAGCAATGGGTAAGTCTAAACATTTCCACATTGAAATTTGAAACAGTGCATGCCCAACTGGTAACCCTTTGTAACAAAAAAAGAATCCCCAAAGACACTGCTTTTAGACCTGTCTAAATGAGGTTTAGAAACCGAATTAAAAAGCAAGTGAAGATAAGAAGGAGAGCACAAGAAAGGTGAGAAATAATTGAAAAGGTCCACCATTAAACCCAACTTTGATTATCCACAGTGGTCAGTGTGACTTCTTTAATGGGAGATTTCATCAGGACTGTACTAAATTATTTCCCTTTAATGATGGCTTTTTTTTGGTGTGATTGCCTGCTAATCACGGCAACCCTCCATCACTCTTGGTCACACACTAAGTTACTTCCACTGTTTAAGACAGTAAAAAAATCTTTAAAGATGATTAAGAAAAGGGTTTTCGGATCTTTTTAACCCCCCTTCTTTATCAACCCACTTTGACGTATCAATCAAATGTCTACCCAAACAAGCTAAAATGGCAAACAATGAAATGATGTAAAACAAGAAAACAATTAAGTAGTCACAAGCTCTTAAATTGTGCTATTATTACTATTTTTCCCTTTTTTTAAAAAAAAAAAAACTTTGTTGTAATTAGATTTGGTTAAGCTCATCCGATCTAAAAAAAATTAGTCTAATTCACACAAATTTGAAATTTATCAAATTATATTTGTTTTACAAAAAAATTAACAATCTAAATCTATCTAAATCGAACCTAAAATAATTTAAATTGTAATATTTATAATTTAATTTAATTTTAAATTTAATAATTTAAATTTAAAATGATTTGAGTTCAAAGAATTCAAATATTAAATCTAAAAAATTCAAAAATAAAATAATTAAAATAATCTAAATCTAAAACAATTCAAAAACTATTGACTTGAAATAATCCGACCTATAATGATTGAATCCAAACTCCACCCAATCCAGCCATTGCCACTTCTAGTTGCAATGTATCTAAACTTTGAAAACTAGCATCCCTGTTAGATCATCATGACCGAACGCGTGGATATGATGATATGAGAAAAGTCTAAGGACAAAACCAAATGGTGGGGTCTTTAACTCTCATGTTTCCTATTCCTTGCACGCATGGCACCCCAATAAATAGATTATTGTTGTGCCCAACCCAAACCGGTGATTATAACCAAACATGTATTATAGTTTCTTGACAAATGCCGGATTCTTTTTCATCGACAAGAGAGTAGAAAAACTTTGTTTCCAACTTAATTGTTTTGCAGCTACTTTGTTTCTTGAATCATCTTAAAATCTAAATCAATCATTTTTTGACAAGTGCATAGTTAAGAGGGCCATATTACAATAAGTGTTTGGATTTTATCAAGACCTTGATTTTTAATGAAATACGTCATTTCGTAATAAGATGTAATATCATTAATTATAAATTTAATATATATACTCAAATCGTTAAATCTATAAATTTGCAATCAATTTCAATTTTTATAAAAAAAATCATAATCTCACATTTATTTCCTAAACCTTCTTTAGACACACTTATGAGATAGTGTTGCAAAAAAAAATCATATACAAGTTAGATGTAATATATTAAAGTGTGAACTTGTTTTTAATTGTGAATATACTAAAATTATTAGACTTGGAAACCCATAAACTTGTTTTTCTAGAAAAGTCTGTCTTAATTGTTGTGCACGCAATGTATCGAAAATTATCAAATTTAATGATTAATTATTTTAATTAATGTAAAAAATATAACTAATGAATAGGTAAAATTCTTAAAATATTGCTAGTCACTTGTAAATGGACCAAGTTACTAAATGACAAATGTAACTAATGAGATTATTTATATCCAATAACTGTGTATGTGATGTAACATTTAGAGAGAAAAGAAGAATATCATAAATGTAGATGAGTGTATGCTTTAGAATCAGTACAAAAATTTTTGACATCATTTTTTGGAACAGTAAAGGAGTGACTTTTAGACCAAAGTGCATAATTATCTACTGAAAATGGTGTTGAGGGATACAAAATACTGTTTTGTATCTGTCTTATAGATGTATATCTAATTGCCAAAATCCTACCTTGAGATCAAACTTTGAGAAGACTTTAGCTAATGATAGGTTTACGAACAATAGTTTCCTATTGGGAAAAAGAAATTTATCATCTGTAAGAAAAACATTAAGAGGCTTGTAATTGATAACCAATCTTCATTTTTCTCGAACTTGTTTTGATCTTTTGTTGACATAGAACTCTTCACACGTCGATGGAGAAAAAATTGGTTCAATTAATCCTTAAGCTTGGTGCTATGAACATTCTTCAACTTCTAACATCAAATGATCTGAGTTCATGCCTAAATGACTATGAGATTAGCATTCTCATATTTCTTAAAAGAAAAGGTAATGAAAAATTTTGGATTTTGCCAAAGTGGGTTTTTGCATTTCTAGAAGAATTTTGAATGATTATTTATACATGAAATCTAAATGAACTTTTACTTGAATTCTTGGAACAAATCCATTTGGACTGCCATTGTGAAGAGGTTTGGAAGGTTTTTTTGAGGCTCAATATAATTTTCAAACTTAATACATTTTCCATTGAGTCTTAAACCTAGTATACTGGTAATAACATCAAAACCAATAACTAAGTCTTTTCGTCGAAGTGGGGATCCTAAAATCTTTAGGTTATTTGATAACCTTGGAATATCTAAAAGGTAACTAGATTGCTGATAAAGTCTATTAAGAAAATATTCTCATTAGTGATCTTAAAAAAAGGTTTTCTATTTTTTTCAAAGGGATTTTGGTAAAATAATGGGATTGGCTATGGTTTAGGCAGCATCTATATCAAACAAGGCTGTGATTATTATGAGAGAAGAGTGTTCATGGGTAAAGATTTGTACTAGGGCTAAGGGTACTTTTAGAGGTTGAATAGACCAAGTAGAAGAGGATCGGTTACCCATATCAAGGTAATACCAAACATAAGCAGTTCATAGTTTAGACATATAACTAAGTTATTCTAGCCGGTGTTTAACACTAAGTGCCCTCATGGCATGATGTTGAGTTAGAGGCTTGACTTTTATAGAGATATGTCTTTTGTTATGGTAGCCTATTTCAGTATTCTTTGATATAGTAACTTTTCTTTGTTTAAGTGGATCAATAGTCTGTTTGACAATTCTACAAGGCTTTCTGATGTAGAGGATCTATAATATTGTGGTAATTACAGAGCATACTATCTTATATCATTACAAACCATGATATAGAAGACTAAATCTGATTCTAAGCCTAACAACTGAAGAATGATGAAGAAATCACCAAAAGAGAAAAGAGGTTTTAGAAAAACATATCTATATAGGAGGTTTTCTTATAAAAAAAGCTTCTCTAAGAAGGAAAACTTCTAAAACTAAAAACTTGACTTCTCAAAGAAAGAGTTATAAACTTATATAAAAAGGAAAAGTAAACAAATAGTACTTAACATAATTACTACTTGTTCATGAGTTGACGAAAGTAACTAACTTAACTAAAGTAACTTTAATAAAGTATCTTTAATAAAGTAAATGTAAGATTCTTTTTTTTTCAAAGTAGCTTTAATAAAGTAGACTTGACACAAAGTAAAAAGTTGACAAAACATAAGGTAGACATAAAATTGATGTTGAAAAATGCAAAGCTGGGGTTGACGTGTCAGCACCAAACTTATCTTGTAATTTTTGGAACACTCTGCAAAGCATTTTGAAATTATTACACATAATTATACATTATTAGACTAGAACAAAGAATTTCTAACTAGATCATCATTACTTGAAGAAGCACTAAGTATGTTCTGGAGAGAGTTGGTCATCTATAAGGTTGAAAAATTCATCAAGAAGGTTAAATTCATCACCAGGGTGAGTTTTTGTTGAAAGAGAAATGAAGGAGTTTTTTTAGGACAAGGCTTAAAAGGAAGAAGGTGAGGGATTCATCATTGCTATCACAAGAATGATCTTCAAAGAACTTAAGAAAGGTTTGAGAGGAGGTCCGAATAACATATTTAGGAGAACATTATATTTTTCTTTTATATATGCTGTGATGAAGAAGTACTTTGAAAACCATTGAGATAATCTAAGTAATTATGCATTTCTTGAAATTGAGTATCTAATAAAAAAATGACATGTCTAGTAGTTTCACAAGAAAGTGGTATCCAATAAGGTAAAATTCAAATTTTTAGATTTCATATTTTACTGTTAAAATCTCTTTTAGCTTAGAGTGATAATTGATTTTCGAGTCTTTGAATTTACTACTTTTGTATCCATATATCTGTTTATTTTCATCTTTTTCTTCAATGAGAATTGAGGACCAATATTTGTTACTTGCGTTTGTCTACAAATTTTTTTTCATCAGAAGAAATCTTTAAAGTTGAAAGTGATTGCATTTTTATCTTTAACATCTTTATTGACTATGTCTGTTTTTAGGACCACTTTAGAGGTTCTTTCTTTAACAACTGTCTAAGAGGATGAGCTATTTAAGCAAGATCTAGAAGAAATTCACTTATGTAATTGACTACATCGAGGAATTATTGCACTTGCCTATTAGAGAGATTTTCATCAAAAAAATCTTCAAGTGTCTTAACAATGTGAGATTGAGCAATGTACTATCCATCTTTTAAATGTAATCCCAAAAAATCAATTTTAGAGGCACCAATGACCATTTTTTTCTTTGAAAGTATTATCCGATGCTATTAGATGATCATTTGAAACTTATCCAATAACTATGTATGTGATGTGACATCTAAAGAGAAAAAAGAATATCAACAATGTAGATGAGTGTATACTTGAGAATCAGGCAAAATTTTTGTCATCACTTTCTGGATCAGTGAAGGAATGACTTTTAGACTAAAGGGCATAATTGTCCACTAGAAAT